CCATTTCCATTCCAAATTATGAAAATATTTATAAAAATTGCCACTCTAAATTCTCAAATTCCCATTATTAAACCAAACTGATAAGACATGCATCAATAACAAATAAAAATCATAGCTAATAAAAACCACTCCTGTGCACAATTTTCCCCCCCAAATGAGCAAAATACAGACATTATTACAAACAAAGTAAAGACACACCTGCTGTGGAGGCGTAGCATTGGCATTACCAAAAGCAATCCGATGTTGAAGATCCTCAACAAACTGAACAATCAAAGGATTATTAGAATTAATCATAAGCACTTCTGTTGCTGTAATAATAGCCCTAATATGCTCCAAGTTCACAACAATAGCCCTTTCTCTTCCCAAAATCGACGACGGATATGACAGCACCGGGTCCAATGCTCTCAAATCACGTGCAGGCAATCCAGTCCTCTTCATTATCGAATGCTTCCCTACTTCGTCTACAAACGATTGGCCCGATTCTGATATCACCAGCCATGCCTTCACCCCTATCATGCCTTTCTTTAATTTCGAAGCCATGGTGGCCGCTACTGGAGCTTAACCGACGTTTGGTTGCTGAGAAAGTTGAGAGAGAGAAGAAATAAGGAAAGAAAGATTGAGATTTGAGACAGAGATTCCGGCAAGCCAACTAGGAAATGTCATAGAAACATCCCAGAAAGAGCAACATTTGACTTGTGAAACCAATAAAAAAGAGACACGTCATCAATATATTCTAACCAACCCATCATTATATTCCATTACACATCTGCATCATACTTCAGGGGGTCGCAATCGATTTTCCTTTTCTTCTTTTTAAAAAATAAAATAAAGTGGGTAGACATGAAACGCTACTTCATAAAACCTTAGTGGTTTCCTTAAATTTGGAATTCTAAAATCAGAAAAGACCAATCTTTAATTTCAAGGGAGTCACTAATAAGTCCTAATCAATTAGATCATCCATTCCAAACTGAATGAATACACATCAGCGTTGACTAATTCTATTTGGGAAAAGAAATATTATACAAACCTGAAATATTCTATCAAGAGAATCGTATCTTGTTGTTTTATTCTGGCCATCAGTTATAAATGACGTGATCCACCATATCAACCAACCGGAATCATGTCTTTTATGCCTTATTTCCGGCAGCCAATAAATAAATTCCACTGCCTATACTGTGCCCCTCTCCTTCTCCTCTTCCACTTTTTCTTTCTGTCTTCTCTTTCCTCTTTTTGGAGCTTCTCGGCTCCTTAATTTGTCTGTGCTAAGTGGGTTGTCGAGGTGTTCTTCCATTTGTGGCCTTCGATTGATGAAGAAGAAGAGCACGAGACTCCTGTGCTTTGACGAGGATGGTACACTTAGCTTGTAAACTCGGCAGGTCTCTCTCTTTTTAAAGTGATTTGGTGACACGGGTTGGTTTCAAAATTGAAGCTTGAAGCTTTGCAAGTAATCATGAAGACTGTGAGATTACAGAGAAAAGAGAGGCTAGAGTCTGAAAAGATGTTTGAACGACCGTTAATTTGCGTCCACTAGGACCAACCACTCCGTCTTATAGTATACGAAAGCCATTGTGTGGTTCGCACCATTTTAATTATGACAGGTGTTAAAAAATTATTAGACAAAATCAAACACTCAAGTCTTATTGATAAATTTAAAAACTATCTTCTTCAAAAAAATATGTATATCTGCCTAGGGATTTTGATATTTTTGAAAAAATAAAATAAAAGTGATAAAAATAATATATAAATTGAAATATATATTTTAAAAACTTATAAATTAAATTATTTATCAATTAAATTCAAATTAAATATTATAATTGAATTCAATTATAATGAAAAATTGATTCTAAATAATTGGTAAAAAATAATAATTAAGTTTGTGCTTGACTTTAGAGATCGAACCCGTTTGTAGTTGTTGATAGAAAAATGCATCTGATTAAAAGTGCTTATTGAGGATGGAGTTAGCAATAAAAGTAGTTATTGAATTTTTACTTTTATGATAAAATGTTTCTTAATAAATTTATAATTAAATTTTTTTTTTTAATGTACAACAAGATATAGTTAATATATATATATATATATAGATACCCATGCCCGCGCATATAGACAATGTAATATGTATTATTTTTTATATAGTTTGATTATTTTTTTATTTTACAACCAAAATTTTTAATATTATACTTTGAAACATTGTAAAAACCAAATTTTAAAAATAAATTAAAAAACAATAATATTTTCATATATATATATATATATTAAAATAATTATTATTACACCACTCATGTTTTCTTCTCTTTTATACATTTTTTATTAAAAACAAATATAAAAAAAAATTCAAATACAAATCCATGATTTAATACAAAATCAAACATATTGTATTTTAGCAAGATTCTAATATTTATTTCTGTATTTTAAAAGTGTTTTGAAAAAATTTAAATTTTTTTATTAACTTTAAATTAATATATTTTTTATATTTTTAAATTGTTTCGATGATATCAAAAATAATTTTTAAAAATAAAAATAATTATTAATATATATTTTAATATAAAAAATTATTTAAAAAACAAACACAATTATATTTTATAAAAAAATATAGGCCTCTTCTTCCACGCGCCATCATCTAGCATTCAAAATCTCTCAAAAAATCAAAAATCCCAAATTTATAGAATTGAAGTTCTCTATGCGTTGATGGTAGGGAAGATGGCATGACGAGGAACGACTTTTGGGCCTGCAATAGCAAAGGAATATATATATGTTTTTTGTGGTTCTCATAGAATATTCCGAGTATTATTTGATAAAAAAAAAAAAAACCTGAAATACGTGGGGGTGGGTGTTCGTTATAGAGTAAGCATTGTCCACACATAGAGAATACTACGGATGATATTGTGTATTTTTTAAAAATTTATTTATTTTTAAATTTTTCTTTGAATGATTTGATGCTAATTAAAGTAGCGTGCATGCTGAAAATTATGTGAAAAATATATTTAAATCCTCAAATTTTAAAAATAACATAAATTATATCATTCAAGTCTCTTAAAATTTTAAAAAAATTAGTTTTGATATAAAAATTTATTTGTATTATTTTTCAGTCCTTCTTAAAAAAAAATAATTAAATTTTGATAATAAAAAAAGAATCATCATTCAAATTATTTCTGACCATCAGAGTAAATTTTTTTGATGTCCACAAATTATATGAAATGAGAGGAGTTTGATGGTTATTATTTGGATCCATAATGTTTCTTGAAAAAAATATATCTAAATTGAAAAAAATAAATCTAACCCGATTAAATCTTAATTTTTTTACTTGTTTTTAGGTATTTTAAATTGATTAATTGATTTATGAGTATTTCAAGAGCGTTAATAAGGATTTTTGGGTTGAAATAGTTTTAAATTGAATTTTATGAACAAAAAAAGTATTGCTATAATTTTTTATCTATAATTTTTCATCTATCACAATAATAGTTGAAATTTGAACTTAGACACGTTGTCTATATATTTTCTTCTTAGAATAAATAGGGGTGGACCATTATATATAAAACTAAAACAAGAGGATTGGATTGTTTTTTATCCTTTTTTAATATATATGTTATGTATAAATTTAAGATAAAAAAATTATTTTATTGAATTGAGTTGACACAAATCACAAATTTAACAAGATAAGCCATAAACTTATTATTTTTTTTCCAAATTTTTTTTTATTGATATCTTTTTTTCATATCCTTTTGTAAAATAATTTTTAAATTTATATTTTGATTAATATTGCTCATCTTTGATTATTTTTATTTCCTTGTTTATACTTTTTTGGATAGATAAATTTTTATAATTATTTTGTGTGTATTTAATTTTTAATTTTTTTTTATTTATCTATAATTTATTTATTTTAATCTTTTGTATAGATGAACTTAATGTTTAGAATAAAAATATTTTTTCAGATAATATTTTTAATATATACAACCTTCATAATTTTTTTATTTTATTCAATCAATTCAATACATGTGTCTATTTTTATTATAGTTTGATTAAATAAAAAAAATATTTGAATAAAAAAATTAGTGAAGACAATATAGTAAATATTTCATCTTATAAGATTAAATATCTTAATCTACATAAATTTTTTGATTTTTTTAATTTTATTTTTAGTTATTATTGATAATTTTATTTATTTATTTATTTATCAATACATATAATTTTTAATTTATTGAATTATATGTATGTATAAATTTTTAAATTTACACTTACAGTTTTTCAAACATAAAAATACGTCGAAAAATCTACACACACACACACACACACACACACACACACACACACACACACACACACACACACACACACACACACACACACACACACACACACACACACACACACACACACACACACACACACACACACACACACACACACACACACACATATATATATATATATATATATATAAAACAAATATCTTATTCATGACATAGCACATAGTTTTTACTTAAGTGTAGCGAGTTCTAGGATGTGACCACCAACTCCTTGCTTCGACTTCAAAATCATGATACTTTTTTTCTTTTTTCTATTTCAAGCCTTTTGAGATACTTTCTTTATTTGGGTCATTGATGCCCATTGAAAATGAAGGAACAAAGAGCAAATCAGGTGGGATAAGCGTCTCTTCGACAAGTCTAGATGGTTGTGTTGTTGGGAGAGGACTTACTGGTCTGCTGGATGATTTCTAATTTTAAAATAATGTTCTAAATGGTTCTATAAAAGCAGTAGAGATGCTGGTTCGCAGTGGGGAAAGACGGGAGAGAAGGGTCGTCTTTCAGTTGTATTTTTGTTATTTTTAGAATTTAGGATTTTTGATATTATTTCAAACCTGAGGGACCACATGGGAGTGAAATCTATCTTTGAGCAATATATAGTTGAAAATGGTGGCATTGAACCAGAAGAAAACGACAATGAAGAAGAACGCAGCAGGACTGGAAATTATAAAACAAATGAAAAGGTTGGCCTTACATGAGATTTCTTAACTCCTTTAGTAAAATTCTCCCCAGCTGTTCTCTCCTTTTCTTCTTCTTTTTCTTGGCGTGTGACAAATAAGCCAAAAGACCACCTGCACTAAAAGAGAAAGGCGAACAAGTTTACAGAGCCAATATTTTTTTTCTCTTGCCCCACCCTAAAAGAACTAGAAATAAAGCAATACAACCTCCACATGTACCGATCACAGTCTCCCAAAATTGTTTTGGTTTCTCATCAAACAGTGTAACATGAATGTTCATTCCAAAGAATCCTACAACCGCAATGCCTGCATTGAGTATCATGTTTGCAGCGCTGAGGATCACTCCCATCTGCAGCAGCTGATTTTGTTTGTCATCTAACATTATGTTGATGAAGTCCTCTGTGTCATCCACATATTCACTCATCTGAAAAGCATGAAAAAATGAAATGACTTCGATGTAGCTAAGTTTTCTCAGGAGTTTCTCTGCTATCCAACGATGCAAACTTTCCATGTAGAAGTAGATAATTAAGAATGACCAGAAAACAAGAGAAATAAGTGCACCAGGTATAGGCACATACACCGGATAGTTTCTGTAAGATGCCATCTAGTTGTGCAAAATATGCTTCCAAAAGCATCTCTAACTCTTCGATGTCTGGCTTAACGCTGGTGTTGGTTTCAGATCAGTCATCAACACTGCAGGTGAGTTTTGTAGAGTAAATTGCACAGCATAAGACAAGTTAAAACTACTATCACAATGCAGTAATAAAGTCTATTGTTCCGAAGCAAGCATCAACATCACAAATTTTTACTCACAGCCATTGTTGATTCCATAATAACTCAACTCTCAATAGAGTTCAATCAACTGATGTTCACATCTCTAATTAAAAGTGTTGCATAAAATTAAGTTTGAGGGGTTAACAGCAAAGATTCTGATTGCCAAGTAACTGAGAATGCAGGGGACAGCCTACAGAAAGAGTTAACACCATAGTTTACTTATGAACAACAATCACACCCTTTGTAATTAAGGAAAGAGCATTAGTTGGGAACAATAATTGATAAGGAAGAGCTAGCAATGTAGTTTGTAATTGTTGAACGATAAAACTAATGTTCATAAATTGAGATCTTAAAGCATGATATGCCATCCATGCTGACTAGTACAGTCCAAAGGTGGTTAATTTACACCAAGAACACGAAGGTTTCGTGCAAAATTTAGAGATTTTGAACAAACATCACAGTTGTGGGATTAGGAAGAACCTGTCATCATCTACTTCACGTTCACCGTCATACACTTCCCCTATGGTAGAAATTTGATCCACTGCACGAGCAACAACTTTTTCTGTCAAGTACATTTCTGCCATATCATTGTCATCATCCAGCAGATTTTCAAGTTCATCCCTCACCTGCAATAAAAAGCTCATAAATTTTCAACGTAGGGTAAGGAAGTCGAACCTATGAAAATGATTGCTTATTCAGGTACTTTAGGGGTATATACACAGACATAGGACCATGCATGCATAGAAATATTAATCTTTTGAAGATTAAATTATGAATAAATACCTTTTCTTGAACAAAACCATTTAACTCGGTTTCAAAATCCAAACAATAGAATTTCTTAGAGACAGAATGACACTCGCAGATGCATTATGAAGAACACAAAAAATGTTTCTTTTTTATAGCCTGCATAAAACAACGACGAGCAGAAACCCAAAGCAGAAACCAATTCGCAGCAGAGAAAGAATACGCTTGCAGGAAGATCTTATGCACAGGATAGAAAGATGACATCCAATAAAATGAATCCAGTTTCACAAGCCTATGGTAGCATACTTCACTTAATGGCAAGAAGAAAAGGATATTTTGATAGCTACAACCATCCAAGAGCATGTTATCTACCTTTTGAACGCGACCGGATAAAGCAACAAGACGACTTTTTATCTGTCTAACACGTTCAAGATTGAGTGTGCTAATTTTAGAAGTCAGCTCATCCAAGGCAGGATATGCCTCTTCCTCCAATGTCCGAGTCTTGAAAAAAAAGAAGAAAAAAGATGCACCTCAATTTAAAAGCATGTAGAGAGGAGTTAATGAGTTGAGCAAGTTAAGAATGTGACCAACATAAGGCCAGAATGGAATGAATAAGAAATGATCTTCTCCCTTAAGGAGACACCACAATTTATTTTTGGCAAATCTTATTGGCGAGGGCCTTGGCTTGGATAATTCAAGTAAAAGCAAAATTTGCCAAGAAGAAATTCACGCTTCAAAGATTTATCTTGAAATTTAGTGCCTTTTCTCATACGTCCATTATGTCAGAAATCCTTTATTTAATATTGTTCTTACACCTGTGGATGCAATTGATCTAAGAGGAATCGCCTAAATTGAGATCCAAAAAATATAAATTAGCATCGCTTAACTGCATGAATTAAGACTAGCTGGTATACATTTAACAGATGATGAAATCCCAATGCCGACTGATATGAAGAGTTGGAGCAAATTGCTCCACTTCCTCATATAAAGCTTATCAGAATTCAAAAGAATCAATAAACGATAATTGAAACAATGTTGATTTATTTATATCTGAAACCCCAGCAATATATAATGGTTAAACTACTTTCTTAACAAATCAGATGATGGAATACTAATGCTGACTAATAATAGATAAACATGTACCTCAGTTTCAAGGCACCTACAAGCAGATTCAAGGCAAGCTTCAAGTGCTTTGAACTCAAAAGGAAGCGCCTTGGAACCTGCAGCTACTGAAACATTTATTGTTGAATTCGCACCCTCACCCTCTATTTCCTGACTTTTCATATTTACAAAATTAAAAGTTGGAGCTTTCCTCTTGCTTAAGCTTTTTGCTGAAGAATGAAGTGTATTTAATATGGGTGAACCCCATGTAACCTCAGCTGAGTCCTCCATTTCTTTACCAGTATGATCCATTGCCTTCAAACAGATAACAATGAGCTCTGTTAGTTTAGAAGATTGCTTTGTGGTACCTAAAACAGAAGAGGTGATTTGCTTAAAGAGCATGGGTTCCATTTTCTTGGAATCTCCTGTTCGCAAATTGCATGCTAGTACTTGAAAATATATTATCAGAGAATAACTCCAGCAATTTATATATTTATTAGCGGGGGAAAACAGTATACAAAGTTCATGAATAGAAGAACTGGAATTAGTTTTTTCATGCCTACTGTTAGCTATAACTTGCAATGAGGGCGCTAACAAATACCAAATATGATGCAAACCATAGCATTCTAAATCAATGTCCATGGTGAGATTGAAAAGCACCATACTAGCAGACAATTTGACTAACCTCTCATTACAGAGTTAGAAAGAACAGAACATTTGAAACTGGATTCCCTTCAACCCCTATTACGATTTCAACAAATCATATGAGAAATGAATACACAAACCTGGTGTGGAGAAGTGACATTATTGTTACCAAAAACAATACGATGCTGAAGATCCTGGACAAACTGAACCACCAGAGGATTATTATAATTAATCAAAAGCACTTCCTTCGAGGTAATAATAGCCCTGATGTGCTCCAAACTCACAACAATAGCCCTCTCTCGTCCCAAAATCGACGACGGATACGATAGAACCGGATCCAATGCTCTCAGGTCTCGTGCAGGCAATCCAGTCCTCTTCATTATCGAGTGTTTCCCTATTTCCTCGATAGAAGACTGACCTGATTCTCATATCACTAGCCACGCCTTTACCACTGGCATTCCTTTCTTTAATTTTGTAGCCATGGCTGATGATGATGATGAGTGATTCTTGTTGATAAGCAATTAGTGATTTAGGGTTTTTTATTGATTTTACTTTCGGGAAAACTGGAACGGAACCTAGAAGTGTTTTAAAAGGAAAATGAAATCTGGTTGTGGTACGTGTTTTTTTTTTAAAAAAAAAAAACTTAAAAGCGCCTTGGCGCCAGATTAGGGAAGGAAGATGACGTGGCTAACGGAATTTCGAAATGGATCTGTGAGATATTACGGGCTGGAGTTTGCACTGACAAATGTTTAAAGGTTTATCTGCATTGAGATTTTTTTTGTAGCATGCTCTCGCATGTGGAAATTAATATCCTACATTAAATTAAACATCGTTTTACAAAATTGAATTTTAAATTATTTAAAAAAAAAAAAAAAAAAATCAAGGACTAAAATTAACATCAACAAAAAAAATCATTTTCCATTCACACTATTTATAAACACATAGGAAAGCTTTAATTTGATTTTTTTTATTTTTACATTTCAATCACAAACTTTATTGATTTGCATTTCAATCTCTAGTTGTTATTAAAGGAGAGATAAAATTACCTAAAAAAAGAGCGAAAATTCTCCAGTAACCAGGTTTTGGCTATCAATAATTATGATTTTGGTGTTTATAAATTTATTTTTAAGAGAAAAACTCAATAGATTTTTTTAAGACAAAATTATCTAAAACTCAATGGATGTTATTTATACCTCTTTAATGATGCTCCAAAAGTAAATAGGAGCTGAACAATTTTTTTCATTTGATTTTTAGTTTTTGACCTAATTTTTTTGTTGATAGAAATAAGTTTTCAGAGGTCCATATAATATATTTTTTATGTTTTTAGGTTAAGAGATGTTGAAATTTAGGTTTTTGTGATCGGAATACTTGGACATTAATTTTCTTGTGGCTAAAGCAACCTCTAATTACTAGAAAAATTGTCGGAGAATGACATATCTGGTCAACTGACTTGATTTGTTTTTTTTTTTTAAAAAAAAGAGTTGAGATAGACTCTAAGTGGTCTACCTTAAAATAAGAAAGCATGTGAGCTCATCCTTCTAGTCCGGCATACACAGTTTATTTTAAAAAATGGCCCTTAATTTTTTATTTGACTTTTTTCTCATTTTATAATAAGATTCTCTTAAAATAAATTTATCAAAATAATATTTAAATAATTATCCAATTATACTATAGTTTTCAAATATTAATAGAGCTTTGTATTATAGTGTTAACCTATACTTTTGTAATTATTATATATGGTTTTTAAACTTTTGCTAATGAATATTCAATTCAAATAAAATATTTGTCTTATGGTATTTTTATATAATTTTTCATATATGTGTTACTCTATATTTTTTAATATATTTATGTCAAAATTATTGGCCAATTTATTAATTAAAACTACCTTTTAATATTATTATAATTTTTATTCAAAAAATAATTCTTCTATTAAAAAAACACATATTTTTAACCAAAAAACAACAACAAAGAAACACGTCAGTAAGGAAATGAATTTTTGATTGAAAAGATATATTTTTTCCTCTTTATTTTAAATCATTACAATTTTTGTGAATATTAATTTTAATTGTCTTTAGTTCTTATTCAATGAATCACAATGCTAATAAAAAAGATATGTTTTTTTTAAATAAAAACAATACATTAATATGAAAAGGAAATCTAGACTGAAAAATATATTTTTTTTATAAAATTTAAAATATTATTTTTCTTATGAATATCTATTTTAATTTCCCTATAATTAAAAAAATTGAAAAGTATCTCACACTATAATGTCAAATATTTATATGTGCATTTATTTTTTACTTATCAAATTTTCTCTTTAATATTTAATTACTACTAATAACATTTTTTTCAGAACTTTCTCAATTTATTTTATTAAAAACAAACATCATCTTTTTAATTCTAAATTAAAAAAGTTATAGTACTGAAAAATGAATTCACAACACTGACTTTTTTTATGTTAAATCAACATGGAATCTTACCGGTAGCATAACATGGGTAAAGAATAATCAATGAAATATATTAATGGCTCATAGTGGTTGATTTCAAGAGAAAAAAATTACATATAGTAAGACAAAAGTTAACCCTTTTATTTATGCAAATCATTTTTTTATGATAACAATATTATAAAATTAGCCTACATTTCAATCAAAATTAATTTTTTTTCATAAAATTTTTAAAATGCACCACTTACATTCTGGTGAATTAAAAATAAATAAATAACTTTTTTAGATATTGGATCAAAGATTTTAATTAAAGAAAGAAAGAAAGCAGATCTATATTTTTTATTACTAATTTAGGTAAATCTACTCATCCAATAAGAATCCAATCCAGATTCCCTATCTTGTCATATCCCGTACTGCCAGTGAACTTGAGATACGGAATCTTTGCCAGCCAAGCCAAACACACCAAAGATTCAAACACAGCACAGTAAATGCAAATAACCAAAAGATCCAAACACCGCAAAGTTTGAAAACGCCAAATTTAGCCCCTCTAGTTTTGTCATTTTGATAAACAGGCTCCTATACAAAGTCTAATCAAATCTACCCTTATATTCATAACAGTCTCTCTCTGTGGGTTATAAAGTCTTCGAAATCGGCTTAAAAGTTAGTCCATTTGGGTTAAAAATTGATGAGATATCGGGTAAATTCGATGAGGTTTTTCATAAGGGCTTATTTGCTAATCCAACAAACTATAAGGCCTAAACTGGGATTTCTCCTGTAAAATTCAACAAAACCCACAAATAAGCACAATCACGTAACTTGCCAGTGTCCACGTCGTTTCTACCCAGCGAGGCAACCCGCGTTTTTTGCGCATTGAAAATCCCGCCCGCCCATCCCGGTCTCTCTCTCTCTCTCTAAAACTATTAAATAAAAAAAAAAACCCAACACCTTTACTTCATAATCTCTTTTCTTCTCTCTCAAGAAACCCGATATTCTGTCTCTCAAATCAAAATCAAGATCACGTTCGATCTCCTTTTCTAGGGTTCATGACCTTCTTCTCCACGTCTAATTACCAGGTCTCATTTTATTTTTGTATATCTCCTTTTTAAACTCAAATTATTGGATCTGATTCACTAATTATGTTTTAATATTCTCAATTTATCTTAGTTTGGTCAGTTCTTGCATGTTTTGATGATTATTTGCTTATTGATTTTGTTTAATTGTTATGATTTTGAAAGGAAATTGGAAATCCGAAGAAGTGAAAATCCGTTTGGTGAGGATTGCTATTTGGATTTGATTGATGGTGATGTGAAATTAGGGTATTGGAAATGATTGGATCGGGAATTTCGCTTGTACGTGTGCTTACAAGCTCTAATGATGATTATAGTGGATCTTTTATTGCCTGGTTAATTACTGCTGCTTTAGGTTTTGTAACTATTGTTTATGGCTTAATTAAATGGCATAAAAGAGCATCTCAGAAATGGGTTAAAGCTGCCGCTAAAGCGAAGAAGCAAGTTTGGAAAAAGTTAAATGTTCCACGGTCTAGTCATTTGTGGATTGAAGATTTAGCTTATGGTCAAAAACAGCCGTCTACATGTTGTGTTTGTTTGACTTCATTGGTTTTACCTTATAATGGCGATAATGCCTTGTTGTGTAGTGATTTTGTGCACTGTTGTGTTGTTTGCGGTGCGGCAGCTCATTTTCATTGTTCAGAGTTTGCAGTAAAGGACTGTAAGTGTGTTGCGCAAGCAGGGTCTTGTCATGTGCGGCATCATTGGTCGGAGAGATGGTTTAATATGGATGAGATTCCTGAGATGAATGCCTTTTGTTCTTATTGTGATGAACCGTGTGGCGTTCCTTTTATTGATGCTTCTCCGACTTGGCATTGTTTGTGGTGTCAGAGGCTCATTCATGTGAAATGTCATGCTAAATTGTCTAAGGAATCTGGTGCTGTTTGTGATTTGGGTCCACTCAGGAGGTCTATTCTTTCACCGCTCTGTGTGAAGGAAGTTGATGGAGGAAACAGCTTAAGTTTGATCAAGGGGGAAATTATAGCCTCTAATGTTCGTAGGCAGATGAGAAGCAAGCAAAGCAGAGGCAAACAAGGAAACATTCGCTCTGTTAATGGTAAGTTGCAGGATGCAACAACTGCCAATAGAAGCCTGGATTTTGTGTTGAATGGTCTTGCTGGATTGAGGAGATGCAGGAGTGAGACTAATATCCACTGCTTAAAGAAGAATGGCAGGATTAAGGGCGCACTTAATGGGCTAATGCATAATAAAGGTGGAACTGCTATCTGTCAACAAGTTAAGAAATATGCTTTGGTTGATTTGGCTCAAGATGCAAGGCCCCTTTTGGTTTTTATTAATTCCAAGAGTGGAGGTCAACTTGGGCCTTATCTTCGAAGGACACTAAACATGCTGTTGAATCCTGTTCAGGTGATTATTTAGCTTTTTAGTGGTTGTCACAAGAAAAGTGGATCCTTAACTCCTCAAAATCTATTTTCATAATCTTTTGTTGTCATGTTCCAGCAATTTTTTTTTAATTGTAGGCATGGTTTTTGGCTTTTGGAATCTTCATAATGTGCTCTCTAAGTGCTATAGTTTGGACTTCATCTGATTTATTAACTGCTGATGAATGTTTTTTTTAGAAATAAAAAGTGGTTTTTCTTTCCTCTGGCATTACTTTGATATTGTGGTTGTTAGGAATAAAAACATCTTCTCATTTACATTGCCTGTAGCTTGTAGGTTATATGGCTGAATTTCATAATCCTTCACTGCAGGTATTTGAACTAAGTGGTTCCCAGGGGCCTGATATTGGTTTGGAGTTATTTAGCAAGGTACGGTATTTTAGAGTTTTGGTCTGTGGTGGAGATGGAACTGTTTCATGGGTCCTTGATGCTATCGAGAGGCACAACTTTGAGTCTCCACCACCCGTTGCTATTCTTCCCCTTGGCACAGGAAATGATTTGTCAAGGGTTTTGCAATGGGGAAGAGGCTTCTCAATGTTTGATGGACTAGGGGGCTTAAGCACACTTTTGCAAGATATTGACCATGCTGCAGTTACAATGCTAGATCGCTGGAAAGTAAATATCAGAGAAGAGAATTCTGAAGGGTATATGGAAAAAGAGCAATCCAAATTCATGATGAATTATTTAGGTAGATATCTGGAGTCGTTACTCATGGATTTTTTTCATCAATCTGTTTCATAAATTGCTTCATCAATCTAATCTATTAACCATTGTCAATTTTGCTTTTGCAGGTATTGGATGTGATGCTAAGCTTGCATATGAATTCCATGTAACACGTCAGGAAAATCCTGAGAAGTTTAGTAGCCAGGTAGCTATATTTTTGTACAGCAGTTGTCATGTATGTTGTTAAACAATCGTCCATTTGCCTGATGCTTCGCTCAAAAGAGTTTTAGTTTTCCATAGCATGCACTGTGCTGGACAGTTATGTATCAGTACAATTTTTAAAATCCAAGGCATACTGGCTCTTCAGTACAGTTTTTAAAATCTTTCTGTTTCTGAGTGGAAAAGAAGGTTCAATGCTAGAGTATTTTTTTTATTGAATCCTTTGTTCTCATCCAGTTTTTTGTTTGCTTGTCCTTTATATTCACTCAAATGTGCTTCGTTGACCACTTCTTTTCTTGAAATGCTAGTGGATGCGTGCTTGCAATAGGATATCTCCTGAGTTTTTTTTTTCCTTCTTAATCTTGGTCTGTGAGGTTGGTTGAGTGTTTTGGCTGAAAATGCTGTTGTATGTTGTCCTGCAGCTGGACAACTTCAATCAATTTCATAATCAGGTTATTAGAGCTTTAGCGTCAGATATTGTTGCTAGACAATGCTGACTGCATTGTGAGACTAAAGAATAAATAAACTATTGTGCCTTTTCTATGACGAACCCCCTAGATACACAAGTGCTTAGGGTTGCTGCAGCTTTCATTTCCTTTCTAGAGTAATTTCAATTTTATATTTCAGATAAGTGCCTCAGATCTTGTGATCTATGTTTCTCACTCAGCTTTTGGAACTTGGCTAATTAAAATGTAATGTGCAGTTTGTGAATAAACTGCGATATGCCAGAGAAGGTGCCAGGGATATGATGGACAGAGCTTGTGCTGACTTACCATGGCAGGTTTGGCTTGAAGTTGATGGGAAAGACATACAAATTCCAAAGGTAATTGATCAGATATTATCTTAGTCAGTGTTGTCAAAGGTGAAAGGCACTCAAAGGCGCCAAGCCTGTAAAATACCCAAGGCACTAGGCGCTCACTTGAATGAATCAAGGGGATATGCTATAAATTAAAAAAAGAAAAAGAAAAAAGAAGTAATATTATATTATTTTATATAAATCTAAAATATATATCTTCCCAATTAAGATTAGATCATTAGAAAATCAAAAGAAAATATAAAATACTATAACATAAGTAGCAAGTAGCCAAATAGATTAAAAATCAAAATTAAATATCAGTTAAAAAAATGGACAAAGGTCAAAACATAAATTAGTTAAAAACAGAAATAAAAATCCTACATCAAGAAAAAAAAAAAAAAGAACTTCAAGCAGGTGCTAGTTGCACCCACTCACAAGGCACTGGCCGAGGCGACACTTCATTGAATTCCAACATCTGAGGCTAATAAAGGCGTTGCGGCCTTGCCTCACCTGGAGTGCCTAGGCGAGCGCCTGTTGTCAACACTGATCTTAGTATTTGAGTTGTTTTCTTTCTTGTTTTAATTGCATTTAAAACATGTTTCTTTCTTTCATATTTTCAATTCTGTGTTCTTTCATCCTTCTCTTCCCTCCAGGATTGTGAGGGTTTAATTGTGCTGAACATTGGCAGCTATATGGGGGGTGTAGATCTTTGGCAAAATGACTATGAGCATGATGATGATTTCAGTCTTCAATCCATGCAAGATAAAATGCTTGAAGTTGTAAGTGTCCGTGGAGCATGGCACCTCGGAAAACTTCAGGTTTGTCATTTTCTGAAAATAAGTTCCCCCATATCATTCACTCTCTGTATATGAGAGATAGTTGTAAGTGTTTGTGTAGTTTTTCATCCAAGGAAATTTCAGATTTCTGAGCTCCTGAAAATATATCTGTCCCTATCATTTACTTTGTGCGTGCATGTGCTATGAAACGAGGCCTATAGTTTATTTAGTTTATTATGGAGGTCCCTTGGTTGCAATCTGCTGTTGATAATTTTTCTTAGGCTCCATGTTAGAGTGGGTTTTTAAGCATCTGAATGGTTGGAAGGGAGCTTGTTTCTCATTGTGGGATTTTATTACCCTCGTTCAAATGTATGTCAATCACTATGTAGAAGCCCTGTCATGGTATTCAAGTGGATTGAGCAAGATGATGGCAGATCTTTAAAGGATTGGGCCAGGGATGACGGGAAAAAATCAATTGTTGAACTGGAAGGTTTGCTCTAGGCCAAAAAAAAGGCAATTTTTAGTAAACTGGCTATCCATAGTTCTCTTTTCTGTACACATTTCCTCATTTGTACAGCAAATCCAATTTCTAGCTTTTAGAACATGGATGGTGGTGGTATCTATTGGGATCTTAATGGTAGAGAAATACAGGATTTTGTAATTTCTGTCAGATTCTAAATTTGTCATTTGCTCTTTATCCAAGATGATTGGATATGGACTCTAAGAGGAATTTTCCATGCAACCTTTTCACACATCTTCTCTGTTCTATATTCTATGTTCTCCCTCTGGTCAGCTGCGTCTAGAAAGTCGCATAAGGTTCTCAGTAAGATTATTACCAATTGACCTATTTTAGTTGCGAAGGGAAGGAGACCTCACAGGACATTGCCACATTGGCGTTTGTTCCACGTGCATTAATTTTGGAAGATGCATGGCCATGCTTCTCTAATATTGTTTCAAGGCTTGGGATTTATGGTATAGGCTTTTTGCATTTTACTGAGAACATAGTGTAGTTCTGAGTAACATGGCGCACGGTTTGATCTTCATGAAATTTGTAGGATTTGAGAACCGAAAGAATTTGAAGTCTTTGGGAAGTATTATATATTCTTGTGCGTTGTAGCATTTGGTTGGAGCCGGTTCTGTTATCTTCAAATATCATGTTCACTCAAATAACTAGGAGTGAATAATCTTCTAAGCCTGTTTATGGTGCCTGCTTTTTAGAACGTGGTTGTTGCATGCAAAGGGTCCTCCTGTTTTTTATGTTGCTCTTCGGTAAAACTTCTGATTCTGTAGGATGTATTTTTTGTTTGTTTTGTTTTTCTTTTGTTTTTAGAGTTATATTAAAACTGTTTGTTGATATTTTGTCTTGTATTAAGTTACAAGAGATGTTCTTTATTATTATTATTATTATTATTATTATTTGCCTAACGCTCATTCTATTGTTCAGGTTGGACTTTCACAAGCTATGAGGCTAGCACAAGGGAAGGTAGTCAGGATACATGCTTCAAGCTCTTTCCCAGTTCAGATAGATGGGGAACCATTCATCCATCAACCTGGTTGCTTAGAAATAATACATGATGGACAGGTATTACATGAGGGTCCTTAGGATTACAAGTGATTTACTTAGAATGATCATAGCATTTATTGCCATTCTAGTCTTTTATTGATCATCTCTATTTTTCATCTGGCCCTTTCTCATCCACGGATGTCTCGTTTGTTCGGTATGTTTCAGGTGTTCATGTTGAGGAGAGCCTCGGAGGAGCCCAGAGGCCATGCAGCTGCAATAATGACAGAGGTCTTGGCAGATGCTGAGTGCAAAGGAATTATCAATGCATCTCAGAAGAAATTACTTCTCCAGCAATTGGCCCTCAATCTCTCCTCCTAGATTCCAATTTCTAAACCCCTCCCTCCTCCCTCTTTTTGCTTCTTAATTTCTCACATTTTGTCCCACTAACACATTGCCTGTCCTCCTCCTCCTCTTGAACCCACTCTCTTTAACCACGGAGGGATTCCACTTTCACATCCTTCTTTATTTCCTTGTTTCTTTTTTGATTTGTTGACCACAGCGGGATTTCCTCTTTACCACATTTTTTTTTTTTTTTAGTAGAGGCTTTAGTGAAACCCAAAGGTGAGATTGACAGCCCCACGAAATGCAAACCAGCTGACAACGGAGCATTGTAAATGGAAGCTATGAGAGATTAATGACCGTTTTGTTCCTATTATGATAATGCACTCCTTACATGTTAAAAACAGAAATGAAACAAGAGAGAAACGTCTGTCTGTACACTTTGAGTTTTTCCCATTTGATTACCAAAATCTCTTTTTGCTGCTTCACTCGGCAAGATAGAAAATAGATAAGGTACACGTTGTTTATTACATAAAAACTAAAGAAACAATGATTTGATAATTCTGACGTATTAAGAAAAATAAGATTAATAAACTTTAGAAAAATTAAAGTAAATGTTGTTTATTACAAGAAAACTAAGACGTAACTAAAATAAATATTTCAAAGAGATTAACAATTTAAATTTAAAATATGGATAAAAAATGTATCTCTTTAATCAAATTTCCTTCCCTTACTAATGCATTCCTTTTTATTATAAATTCTTTTGTTCGAAAGTGTTTTTTATTCAAAAAAAAAAAACTTATCATAAACCTAAACACAAGCTTTAATTAAGAAAATAAAAAATGATAATGAAATTATATTTTTCACGCCAATGTATTAAATATATATATATATATATATATAAGAATAAAAAATTTAAGAAAATAAAAAAATCAAATGAAAAAATAGATATTTGATTTACATTTAATAATAAAGATCCATGTATAAGTATTGGGGGGGAATTGCTAATATTACATTAATATTATTTGAAAACAATTGACATTATTGAATAATTATTTAAAAATAATTTTAATAAATTTATTTATAAAAAATATAATAATAAAATGCCTAAAAATAACAATAAAACAAAAAATAAATAAAGGGCTATATACGCATGGGCTGGAAGTTCGGGCCCGCATGCCTAGCCAACATTTAAAGCATAGATTAGCGCACCTAGGTATTTTTATTTTAAGGTAGACGGCTAATTTGTAGGCCTAGCTAGATGATGTTTCACTAGTCTATATAGATTACATGTTGTTTGTCTCCAACATTTCCAATAACTAAACGAGGCTTACGTGATGAAAAACTTAGGATGTAAGTTTTGAACTCTAAAAACTAGAATTTCAACTATTTTTTACTTAAACACATATAAAAAATTATCTCATAAACCTTTAAAAAGCTCATTTCTAATATTAAAATATATTGTCATCAATTTAAAAACTTAAATCAAATCAAATATACTCTTTTTTTCTTTTTCTTTTTTGCATTATTGAAAGTGAAAATCATATTCATTGAATTTCTTTTAAAGACAAATCTCTAGAAATCAAATTAAAGTTATTAGCACTTAAAACACCAAAAAGCTTTCTTTGTTTTAAAATTTTCTAGGAACTTTCTCAAGAACTAAAAGGAAAAAAAAATAAAACTCAATATCAAAAAAAAAAATCAAAAATAAAAGGGAGAAAATATATAAAAAAAATTAGGGACTAAATGATTGTTTTACACGCTTCTTGAAAAGTACACATGGAAAAAGGTTTTTAGTTTTTTTCAATGTCAATTTTTATTTTTTTTATTTTATTTTTTATGAAAAAAATAATTACCCTATCATTCTATAGTTTGGTTCTATAGTTTGGTTAAAATTACACTTGTTTATTAAATTTTTAAAAGTTACAGTTTATATATCATTAACTTTGGTGTGTGCACAAGAGTTTATTTCTTGTACCGGATGCCTAAAAAAATCAGCAAAATTTATTTAATTATTTATAAAATTTTTATTTTTTTTATTTAATAACTAAAGAGACCTCAAACTTTAAAAATACCAAAAATTCCCTTCATTTGATTTTTTTTTCTGAAATGAAAACCTCAAAAGCCAAGAAACAATTATTGTTAAATTTCATCATCTTTTTAACTATATTTTTCTTCTTTTCCCTTTCTAGATTGCAAACAAATAAAAAGATTGCTTCTCATCTCTTCATTTCACACAACACCACCACTAGAATCCAAAAATGGCTCCAATCGTTGAGGACACTTGGTGTGCATAAGGTCGGGGGGTCTTCTCTGTGGAACCACTTCATATGGGTAAATCGTTATGTCAAGTATTTTTATTTTTTATGAAAAAATTATATATACATGTATTTTTAATATATTTCTATAATTTCAAAAATTAAAATGCAAATAAAAAAATTTATATAAACTTGTAATTAAATAAAATGAGAAGTATGTATACTAATAAATAAATAAAACATTATTAATAATACCAAAAAATAAAATTTGAAAAATCAACATATATATATATATATAATCTTGTAAGATAAGATATTTACTCAGTTATGTTTGCTAAATTTTATTTATTACAATATTATTTTTATTCAATCAAATGATAATAAAAATAGACAAATATATTAAATTGATTTCCTAAAAAAAAGAAAAATAATATTATGGAAAGCTACACATATCAAAAATATTATTTAAAGATAAATATTTTTATTTTAAAAAATATATTTTATCTATAAAAAAAAGATTATAAATGAATTAGAAAAACCTCTTTAAGATTTAAACACATAACAAAAAAAAAATCATCATTTAAAAGAGGTTTTCTAAACAAAATAAAAAGGGTGAAGGGGTATTAATCTAAATAAAAATAATTCTTTTAAAAAAAATATAAAAGAAGAATTAATTGAAAAAGAAGTGAAAAAAAAAAGAAAAAAAGACAAAAAGATTAAGCAGGCTTGGCAAACCCAGCGTGACTGGGCCTTTACATGTGGCGAATGATCATTTTTTCTTAAAAAATTTAGATGATGTGTCGTCCAATCATACTAAATTTCAATCATTGTAGTGGTCGAAAATCAGGGCCTAAGATTTTTTATCAAAAACTTATTTTTCAATCTATTTTCTACCCAAAACACCTATAAAAACTTTAAGAACAACGATAAACTTATTAGTGGCTTAAAAAACTAAAAAGTCATCTCAAAAATCAAAATCAATCCAAAATAAAAAATTAACTCGAGCCCGTATCTATGTTCTCACAAACTTTAAAGTTAAAAAACAACTAATATAAATTATCTTCATCAAAAAAAAATCATTTAATACAAATAACCGTTTTGGTTGTTTAAAACGATGTCAACAACATATTTTTCTTTTTACTACCAGAATCCACGATCTCTTCTCTCTTAAACTAGGACTAAAAAATAACAAAAATAAATTTTTATATCAAAATTAAATTTTAAAAAAATATTGAAATACTAAAATTATATAATCCATATTATTTTTTAAATTTAAATGTTAAAATACGTCTTTTTCAAAACTCACTAACATCTTCTTCTTTTTTATTCCTTTTCTTTTAACCTCACTTTTCATAAAAATATTAAAATTAATTGGTTTTTAATTAAAACTAAACCATTAAAAAAAGTTTGAGAATTGAATTAAAAAAATAAAAAGTTTTACACAGTACATCTACGGTGGCGTGTGAGAGAATAAAAACTAACCTTTTGGTTTTATTCTTGATTATCTTGAAATGAGAGCATCCACAATCGCAAGATGGCACATTGTCCATGGAAAATAGAATATTGGTTTATACCCCAAGCACAATCAGAAAGCCCTTTACACATCTGAGCTAGAATCAAAGGTACATTTGTGGTTTTATCCTCTGAGCGCAGACAACCAAAGATTCTCTTCACAACCACGTCAACGGCTCTGATATAGACTTCCGCCGGCGGACGGAGTGGGTGGAAATCTTGGAGTCAAAACTGAAGCCTGGTCATGGGAGAACCTGTCAATTAAAAATCTTGGTCAATACGCTTCCAAGCCTAGGAGTTGAAGATTGTTGCAGCTTACTAGACCCTGGGGCTCCTTGTACTTGTACATTGTTTTTATGCTTGATTATGGATCTGTCAAGCCAAAAAAAATAAAAAAATAAATTCTGATCTATTGAATTGTATTAGCAGATCTGATTTGTGAAAACCAAAGAGATTGCTGAAACCCATTTTTACCTAAATGTATAATATAGATCTTGAATTTCGCATACATATGATGCTTTGGATATGTTCGAAATACATGCGAGATTCTCAAAAATAAATAACCAATCACGAAATTATACTAGAAATCAATTATTATCATTATTTTTTTAATTATTATTATTATTGTAATTTTTAGGATAGTTTAGATGCATCTCAATTATTTTTGCTAAGATTGAACTAAATCAAACCATTTTATCCAACTGCATAAAGATTGGTGATCTATTTATATATAAAGCCTGATCTTAAAAAAAATTAAACTCGTAATTATTAGAAATTAAATTTAAAATCTCATTAATTTATCTATTTTTTAAATTTAATAACTAATTTATTATTTTTAATCTAGATTCAAGAAAAGAGAGAAATTGATTTTGATTTTTCAAGTGAGAAGATTTTTAATTGATTAATAAAAAAAATGATTTGTTGTTTGAATTGATTAACTAGGAATAACATATTAAATATTGTGATAGTGATTAATAGTTTTTTTCTTGAAAGTGCATAAAAATAATTTTTTAAAAAAAAATTATTTTAAAAACCAACCTATCAAAATAATATAAAAATATTAAAAAATTACATTTAAAATAAATAAATAAATAAAATTTTTTAAAATACAATAACAAACATACTCGAGGATGAAGTAAATCACCAATCTAATTAATTTATTAATATTTTTTTTCGCTATACAATAGGTTGCATTTTTCTTAAAAAAAATAAAAATAAATTTGGCATGACCGGGCCTGAGTCCTAACACCGGTGGAATCTAAACACCTGGCTCTAGGCTGATCTAGGCCAGGCCTCTCTGCCTCACCACAAACCCCAAAACCAGTATGTTTAAAAAAAAATAAAAATTATTAGACATTACTGTGTTAGCTGCAAGCTTACAATTTGTGAATTACAGTTCTGTTTAATTAAGATTTCCCAATTTGGGATCGTTCTCTCCTTTTTCTAGTAAAATCTTTTTAAAAGGATTTGAGATGGCCTGTGTCTCCTCAGTGATGAGTTTTGCTTCAGAGCATTTTCCTACCTCTCATCTCCATCTTTCTCCCCTCTCTATTCAACATGATTAGGGAATTTGAGTCCTCCTTGAAACGTGGTCGTTTGACTTCCTGTTTGATAATTTCTCTTCAGATTTACGTTGTGTCATTTTGGCGAGAAGAAATACGTTAGGACTTTTATCTTGTTTTGACATATTCTTTAGCTTCCACAATTATTTGTCTTCTCAGTCTCTTCTGCGCTCTCTCGAGAAAAAATAGGGTTTGCAAGAAGAAGAAATTAGGGTTTTTGTTTTTTTTCCTGCCCTGTGATCACCAGAGTCTCGGCGATTGAGGGGGTTGCAGTCCTAAATCTAAACACCATAGATAATCAATTGTCCACACGAACCCCACACGAAAACATTGTACTTACGTTGTCCAGATATTCTCAAATTAATCTGAGTTTTAGCTAGAAAAATTAGTGAAAAGACATCGACGTTTAGAGCATTGGAGCACTTCCACAAGTTTTTCTTTTCTTGATAGAACACATGTCTTAAACGTTGGACAAAAGTTGAAGGCTCCCAGTAATTGAAAAGAGGACAGATTGGATTGATAGGATGTTGCAAACAAAAAGGGCTCATCTTCCTTAACAGATATGAACTAATAAGACAGATTGATACAATCCAACCGGTACAGTTCACCTGATCAAGCAATCTTACCTTTCATTCTTCATGGTCCTCTCTCTTTCCCACCCTAGCTGTATGCTAACCGTAGAGGTGTTTATAAGGCCCTTCACAGTTTATGGAATAAGTAATGCAAGTGTATACTAAAAAAAAAACCAATTAAACAAAAAAACCCATAATATTTGAATGGATAAAAGAAGTTATATAGACTTGAGATTTAACATAATTTTATTTCCTCTCAAATAATGATAATGAAGTTTGTCTTTTTAAAGATTTACAAAGTTTTAAATAATTCATAAACCCTACATTAATTAAAAAATAAAAACAAAATACTAAAATTAATCACAAAATCTGAAATAAGTAGGAAATTTAAAAATTATCAAAATTATCAAAACTGGAGGCACTAATAGGATTTTGAATATTTAAAAATTTGATGGTCTACATGGCGATGCCTTATCTGCTATAGAAAAAATAATTTTCAAAAACTTTTATAAAAATTAAAATATAATTCAACACTGTTATTTTGATTTAGTATTACGAGAGATTTAGTATTACGAGACCTTCTTTGAGATCTTGATCCATTTCTCTGATCTAGAAATATATCTACTAGTTTATTCACATAATATATCTAAAATATATTCTCATTTAATTATAATAAATCCATACCAAACTATTCATTCATTGCCACCCATTATCACAATTCCAAGTTCATGAACAAGCCTCGTCTTTTGATATAACATTATGAAGTATTGAATATGAGACCTTGCAAGGACGAGACTCTTAAGTTTTACTGTTGAATCACGTTTCGAGAGATATTATGTTATTACCAATAACATTGTGAAAATAAAAAAGGGAGTTTCACGAGATAGAATTTAGAGGAAAAGACAATTTTTCGTGAGTTTCTCTTGATAAGTAGAAATTCCATCAATAAATTAAAGGTGAATTATTCATTCTATCTTTATATAATAATTGAACAAATTTTTAATATGCTTTTACGTTTCTTAGTTGTATTTATTATGTACTTGTATAATATCTTAATATTTCATTTTGTCAAGTTTTTATGCAATATCTTAAACGGGTTCCAGCTGCCCCTTTCAATGGCACCATAAAAACCTAGAAATTATGCTCCTCCTTGTGGTATTAATTAACAAAAATTAAATGGTGTGATAAAACTACTATTCACCCATATTTATAATTTTTTTTTTCAATCCTCAGCAAAAACATTATAAAATAAACTAGTTGCCACTAAACATTTGCAAAAAAGAGAATGATTTTAGAGGTTAGAAGGTTGAATTTACATTTGAAGCAAAATGCAAGCGTAATCTCTTTGGTAATTTCAAAACACAATTTACTATATGTATATGGAGGACCAACATAAATTTTTTTAAAAAATCATGTTTGTGGAAAGCAACTCTCAGCTGCTTTCTGCAATTTACGGATGCGTTTAGTGGAGAGTGAATATAATTTACTCTCCACTGAAAGTCCACAGTGGAGTTCAACTTCACTATTCACTTGAATAGTGGAGTCACTTTCTACTGTTACAGTCGGACCGAGTCTGATCCAAAGTTAAATGTATTGAACAGGTCCGATCTAGTTAAAAAATTCTATTTTTATTTTTTATTATGCTTTATTTGAAAAATTAAAAGAAGATCAGTTGATAACATAACATTTGTATAATTTAATCGTAATTTCAATTTTATTATTGATGATATTTTACCTGATATGGTTGCTCGCTTAAGAAATCAAGAAAACTGTAGTTTTTGTTGGATGGATTCTATGCGTGATGAAATTGTAGATTGATTAATTAAATAATAAAAAATATTTGATATCAATATTATTTATTTCATGATATAATAGAAGTGGTTAAATCTATAATATTTAAATTAAAAATCATATATATATAATCTCAAATTGAAAAATATTCTTTTAACCAAATACATTAAATTATCTTTTGTTTAACCTCAATTTTAACCATATTTTTAACTAAACATATATAAATACCAAACCAACCTTAGTTAAATTTTTTTTTATAAAATAATTTTTTTAAACTATAATCATAAAAACTACTATAATACCAAATACACTATTGAAACTTTAATAGGTATCTACTAGTTATAAAATCGATCCAATTTAATGTGTTGACATGATCACTTGCCATCCAGGAGCTTAACCTTGGAAGGGTTTAATTAGGGTTGGTATAATAGAAAACTCACTCACACACACAGATATATATATTATCAAAACATCATTTTACTTTTGTTTTTTTAATTCTTGAAACAACATTGTTCCAAGGTTTTTCTTTCAAAAAGTCAAAGTTTCGATTGACTCATTAGTCAACTCATTCAACCAGTAGCTTTTATCGGGTCAAGTCTTATAACCATGGATGACATTTTTGAAAACTCTCTTTATGTCAATGCTTATTATTGCATGAAATTTGCTACGAGTATAATTAAGAACTCTCTTATGCATATTTATCTCTGTGTGACTGATGTTTTTTTTTCCCCTCCTGCTTTGGGTACATGGAAAGGACGTGCTTTTGCATTCTGAACCCACAATTAGTCACTCCCTTGTTAATTGATCCACTTTTAATTTGATTCTAGCTTAGCTAGATTCTTTGACGAATATCCGAAATATAACCCTTTCACATCAACTATATATATATATATATATATATCACTTGATTGATTACAATCATTCGTTTTTAGTTGTGTACACGATTAATTAAGATATATAAAAGTATTTTAATTTGTTTTTTATAGTAATATGTATAATTAATAAACTCTAAATTCAATATTTTAAAAAAATACTATAAAACACCCCATGGTATAAGTACTTAGGTCAGCATTTACCATGCAATAGCTGCAAAGCTTGGAAGATGGTAGTATATTCCTGTGCCAAAAATAGCTTCACATTACTTTCACACAACACTGTAACACTACAGAACCCTAATCAACTAGCCATCAGAGCTAGCTGGTATTGAAGTACTCAATAATAATAAATACATGATGATGAAGCTGTCAAACAGGAGAGATTGATGTTGGTGGAACAATACCATGTCTATCCATCTATTAATGCCATCTCTATCTCGTTACATTTCCCAAGAAGCGTCAGATAGTCGTCATTTACTCTCCCTTCCTCTCTCTTCTCTTCTCTCTAATGGAAAATTGAAATTGACGTTGGCTTTTCAAAAGCCAAAATATCTGGACCTTCCTCCATGAGAGAAACAAGCAAGAGAAGACCCTGCCACGTTTGAAATCTGTGAGCGAGCTAGCTTTTCCAAGGATAGTATAATTATCTGATTTTTTCAACAACTCACAAGTCCTTGTCATAAATGCACTACACCATTTTCTCTGTGCTTCTCTCCCTCTCTCTCTCTCTCTCTCTTTCTTTTCCAGTAAAGTTTTTCGTTGTCATATAATATGCAGGTTTTTTTGGGTCATAAATAGTTAATGGCAACAAAGAACTTGATCATAAGGATCTATAAGAACCGAGAACCTAGCTGCCTTTCTTCTCTTGTTAACTGTTAACATCTATGAATGGAATCTTTTAATTCAGTATTTTTCATGACTCGGCCCTTAAATGCTAACTTCTTACAACAAAACAAAGCCCCACAACAAATGCAACAGTTACGTTTCATTGCTAAGCTTAGTTCATAAGTCATAGCCCACATCATCTTTCTGAGCAAAAACACGTAAAACAATAGTCTAATTTTAGTTGCTAAATTGGGAATGAAATATAACCATTTGAAAGCTATATAATCACGGGCTATTTACGGTAACTGATCATGTGTATCCAGCATCTACCTGGTTACCGAAGATTTGCTTCTAATTTGATATAATCGTTTGCATGGGAATGCACACATTAATTTACTAGGAAAGAGAAACAGATGGATGTCTTTTCTTGCATGTTTCTAACGTATCCCTTACCTTAGATTCTTAAAAGGGAGCAGTATTAAACTTGAGGCTATGTAGAAGGCTGCCTTTTGGACTCTATGGAAGGAAGTGTAGGTTTTGGCTAGGCTCCTGCTAACAATTTCAAAATCCAATGGCTTTTCACTGCACCTGCTATCTTGTCCACGTCAAATGTAGGCATTCATGGCTAGCTAGATCCCACATCTGAGTTAGAGAAAATGATTCTCTTAAATCTCTGTTATATCATGTTAAGTAAGGAATAATCAAGAAACTACGGTATGATTTTCTGTCTGTGTTTTTTTTTCTGGAGAGAGAGGGGGAGGGAGAGAGAGAGAGAGATGCTATGCTCATCCAAGGTGGGAGATAGTTGTTATACAAGCTCACCTTTGTTGTATATAGGAGTGTTGACCACATAGCTGAGATGGAACTTAAAGAAAAGCTAAGCTAGCAACCTGTAGAGATTACAACCAAAGACAATAAAGACATAGATATTCATCAGAAGACAAAAAAATTACATAGATAGACCTTCAGATTCATATGTACACACATAATTGCAACCATAGAGAAAAGAGAACAGTAAACAAGTTAAAGAGAGAGAACTTCACCAGAAGTTGATATTATAGAATTGTAGTTAGGAGAATCATGAGATGGCAAGCAAAGAAATTGTAGCAAATGTTTGTTGGAAGGAATGAAGCCTGGTCCGAGAATCATCGAGGTACAAGATACACACAGACTTCGAATTTTCTCGGCTGTCATCAGGTAATGCCATGTCTGTATAATCATGGCCTCAATGACCTCGAGCCAGACAACATTCCTCTCAACCTAACCCTCACGAAACTGAACTCATGCTATATCTTCTAATAAACAAAGAGAGAAAGAAAGATGTAACACAATAACTGATGAATTTGCACATGAAATGCATAACATAAGCTTGTATGTTTGAGGGGAATGAAGCCTGGTCCGAAGCCTTAACAGTTGTTTCATGTTAGGAAACTCTTTGCTTAAGCTTCGAGCCAGCCAACATTCCCCTCAACACACCCACACACCTTTTCTTCCCCTGCATAGAAAGCCTAACCCATATGGTGTTTTGACTTGTATATATAGTGGTGTAGTGTAAATAAAAGCAGAGAGAGTAGAGAGAGAGACATTGAAATACTAATATAAAAAAAAAAATCTAAGAAAATGGGCTGTGTTCTTGATTCCTAATGCAAGATGGCCCTTTTCTTTGGTGGTCTAAGTGAAGAAAATATAGCAGTTTAATTAAGCAGAGACACGTAGGTAGCCGTGCTTGCTACTACCTCTACAGTGCTGTCTTGTAATTACCAATGTACTCTAGCATAGTGATACGAGTCTCCTTTGTTTTTCTTTCTTTGTCTTTATTATTATTATTAATTCATGCATTAAGTGGCTAAAACAATAAATTGCTTAACTTTTAAATTGGGAAAAAAGGGGTTTTAATCAGTCTTGAGATTCTTGTTTTCTTTCTTTATTTAAGAAAGAAAAGGTAAGACAAACCTATAGCTAAAACAGCTGCCTGTATCCACACCCTACAAACGCCAAAAAGCATGTAACTCCAATTAATTTCTTACATTTCCTAGGTCATCAGTCAGCATGTCTGAATTCTGCTGCTAGTTTTGTTACTAGCTACCGGTAAATCACCCGACCTGTTACATGCTACGACCAGTTTCTTCACAAATTATTCTCATAATCATTTTTCAAAATTAAAAAAGCATTAAAACACTATCAGTGCACTGTTTTTATATGTGGTATTATCATTGTTATCATCATCATTATTAATTAATTAATTAATTATAGAGTATGTATGGAGAAGACAGAGAGATGAAGACAGATGGGGAGCTAAAATAAATTAGTCAGGACAGAAGACAAGTCTGGCTTTAATGCGATTCTATCATCATTACCTTATTATTTTTTCTTAGCTTTACCTATCCCCACTTTCCTTCTTTCTTTCAACTCTTCCTGTACTGTCCAATACCCGCACGGCCAACCCGCCTGACTAATCATAATTCATTCATTCATACATGATTAATTATACATGGGACCAGCATTATTTTCTTCTCAATTTTCTCATCACAGCTCTGCATTTTCTTCTCTATACCCATTTTGATTTACAAATATCTCAAAGGGATTTTTTTTTGTCTCACAAATTGAAACTTTTCTTGAGTTCTGGCAAAATTTCCCTTTGTTATGTTCTTTCAAGCCATCCCCTTTCAACTACACCACAAATCATTCCAAGACCTCACCGATTTCTCCTTTCAAAACACTTTCTTCAACTACTACTCGTTTCAGCAATTTGTAAGATATCATAAATATTGTACGTGAATTAAAATCATCTTGAGATATCTTGATGCATGCAATTTGTAAGACTTTTTTAAAATTTTCAGAAAAGATATTTGCTACTAAGTAAATCATGGCTCTGGAAATTCAACACATTTGAAACTTGAAATCTTAGCTTTCATGGTTTTGGTATAAATTAACTACAATTTTCAAAACTCAATTCCTCGTAAAGCTGGAGAATTAAGATATTTTTTTCTTGATTGGGTTACTGCCCACATAGAGGAATTGCTTGACTCGTTGACTGACCTCATCTCGGTCCAAATACATAATAATGAACCTGTCTAGACTGTAGTTATTAATTAGTACTGTCTTTTTTATTACCAAGAAAAAAATAATAAAAACATTTTACAGAGTTGTTATTTAGGGCAAAGCAGAGACATGAAACAATTTCTTCCTAGAAACACGTCATGGCAAAGACGGCGTTTCAAGGAATATAAAATCCCAGCCGCTCAACCTCAAGATCTAACGGATATAAATAGACTACCTTGAAACCCGACATGTCGGTGTCAGCGGGAGCCTAGGGTGGGGGCCGAGGAAAAATAAAAATAGCCCGAATAACGAGGAAGACAGAGAAATTACTGCTATAAAAAAAAGAAAAAAGAAAAATCAGCGGTCAAAATGTCCAAACAGTTCGGCGGGTCGGATTCTATGATCCTGGCACCGACCGCCACGTGACAGTATTTAATGCAGAGAGAGGAGTTCTGTGGAGCGGGTCCCACTAGAAGAGGAGACAGGAGCAAGTGGATTCTGCGGGTTTTGTACGCTAGGAGAGTGACGTGTAAGATTGGAATTAATTAGGGATCAAGGGTGGGGACCGCTGAGCTAGGGTTTTATTTGTTTTTCCAATTCCCTGTTTAAAGTATATTAAAATATTAATTGATTTAAAACTAGGAATTTTTTTTTTTTTTTGCAATTATGTGTTAATGATGGATTGTGATGATGTGATTTATGATCTCATTTGGTAATTTCCTTACAGCTATCTCATCGTATCTTGATTTCACTATGCTTATTATTATATAAGGGTTTTGGGAATGTTGAATTATTATTTTTAAAAGTATTTTTTATTTATAAATATATTAAAATAATATATTTTAAAAAATTATTTTTGATATTAAAACATTAAAATATTAAAAAATATTAAAAAATTTATTTTTATATATTTTTAAACAAAAAATATTTTAAAAAATAACCACTAATATAATAACAAACAAGCTTGTAATATTTGCTTGATGTGTGGCTGTTTTTTTCTAGACATTCAAATATATATATATATATCATTATATAAAAACACAACAAAACTAAAAAAATAAAAAAAATACAAAATTATAACCTAATATTTGAAAGAAATTTTTAACTTTAATGTTTATATGTATTAATGGGTTATATTCCATGTATACCAACAAGTTTACGCCATTACAAATCGACAAAACAATGAATCACATATCTTAATCTATAGAAAATTCAACACTATTAATCAATATTAATTTTCTCTACTCAGATTGAAAATAATTACGAATATTTAATTGCAAAGGGGGAAAAACACCAACAAAGATGAGTGTATTAATTAGATTTTGAATAAGTAGAAATTTTTTTACTTTATTTCATCAATAAGTTCTTTTTATTTAATGGTAAGACTACAGATGTACATTTCATGTATTAAAATGAATCTTAATGTTAAAAGGTATCAAACTTCCCTGAATAACTTATTCGGTTTTTTAACAAAATTGAAGAGCTAATTAGATCTTTATGTTAGTAAACTCTATATGTTTTTTTTATCCAATTATTAATGTTAACTTAAGAATTTGAGATGAGTGTAGTTCTTATACTCAACTTTAAAAATTATGTCAAATTATAATTGAAGGAAAAATCAAAAAATTTATTGAAGGACTAATTCTACCCTATTTAAATTGATGTATTTAAAAAAAAAAAAAATTTCTGGCAACATGAGCCAAAAAGATATACTTTTAGAAGGTGAGGTACTCTCATGCTAAATGCAGATTTTCACAAGAAACAATTTCTGTCCTCTTTGAATACGTGCCTTTATGGTAAAAAATTTACTGAAGGACTCATTCTACCCTATTTAAATTGATGTATTTTTTTTTAAAAAAAAACTTTCTGGCAACATGAGCCAAAAAGATATACTTTTAGAAGGTGAGGTACTCTCATGCTAAATGCAGATTTTCACAAGAAACAATTTCTGTCCTCTTTGAATACGGGCCTTTATGGTGTAATTAAATTTCCCATCCAACAAAACTAACGTGGTCCCATTATGTGTTGTAACCGATGCCGACTTTTCAAGAAAAAAAAAAAAGTCTCTAACTTGTACGTGAAAATACACGAGAAAGGATAGGATTCTTTCAAACTATAATGTAGTTTTGCATTACCTATTTTTAGTTGAGAGTGAGTTTAATTATTTATATAAATAATAAACCATGTTAATATATCTTTCTTAATCCTTTGATTACAAGTTTCAAGCCGAGCTTGGTGATTTACGCGTAGAAGTAATGTGGTTGCTAGTTTGAGACTTAAGGGTCTGCTAAAAAAAATTACATTAATTTATTATTTTAATAGGCTTGTAGTGTAGTGGTGTCTTAGTTTAGTTGGTTATGGCACGCGAGGCATCTATAAGATGGCAGGTTCAAGTTGCGATGGGCATGTTTTTTTCCTTTTCTTTTCTTTTTTTTCCTGAAAAAGAAGGTAGTCTATCAAGGGGTTAAAATTTATCAGGGTATTTGAAAAAGAAGGTAGTTTATCAAGGGGTTAAAATTTATCAGGGTATAAGCTGACAAAAAGCACTACTGGATAGCATTTAAGAAGTGGCAGCTTGCGTGATAGTAGTGAAAATTGATTGAGTGTGTGTGCAACAGCACACAACAGCTAGCGCAATAGTATGTTGACGAGAATTGAGATTTAGGTGATAATTGTCCAAAGCTTCATGAAACAGTGTTGGGATGACACAATGGGATAGTGGGGAATTCAGTGGCACTAATGAGATCGACAATATCGACAGCAGAGGCTGACGATAAGTCTACACAAGAGACAATGCTAGACTTGACATAAACAATACTGGCAGGAATGACAGCATGCATTGATAGTGGCATCGTGCATGGGCGTTGGCAAATTTTGTATCAATGTATGTCAACGATTCGACAGGGCATGGTAGATGTTTGGCAACGAATCCAAACTTGGACAGCGAACGATCCAAGACATGCAAAGCAGTTATCAACAGTTTTTTATATGAGAAAGAAGTGACCAGAATATGAGATAATGAGTGCTTCACCTGTGTAGGAAGTTAGGGGTAGTTTCTTTATGTAACTTCCATTATCTTGTACATAGTTAGGCTGTAAATGTGTAGAATGTAAGCTAAGGCAGTACGAAAATGTACAATAGCATATAAGATGGACTTTGTGTAATCCTTTAATTGAGTTAATGAAAAGGTTGAGACTTATTCCTGTAATATGTTGTGTGGGACTTGTTCCTATACTATGTTATGCTGTACATTCTGCTCATATTCATTAGTGTTATTCTGCTTGCCTGTGATAATGAAAGAGTGTGGGGATCTCTTGGACTTATGAGACAAACTAGTCGTAGGTAAAACATGAGTGGATATTTGGCGAGGGAAAAGCTGAGTCTAGCAGGATTAGACTGTAGCATGAGATTTGTTTTTGTGTCGAAAAATTGACCGCGTGATACGGTTCGTTTTTGTTAACAAAGCTAAAAAAAAAAAAGATAGGTCGTAGCCCAATATGAATATTGTATTTAA